TTGCGCAACACAACAAACCGTTAGTGGGTGCCCGATACTAACTCACGCAAACTCATCACTTATAAAATATTTTGCATGCGGAGGCTGGACACCACAGCTTAATTATATGTTGGGCTCGATCTGTGACAAAAAATCTGACGCAACAGTAAAATGCAATGGAAACAATATGATGGAATGGCTACGTTAGCAGAACATGTTTAACAAGAATGTCAATGTCGAACACGTCTTGACCATAGCTGGTCATTGTTTATATTGCATCAGTATATCATGGTTCTATAGATTATTTCGTATATTATGGCAAATTATAGCACAATTCACACCATTTCCGTTCGCCTTGAGGCCTGGGGGCACAATTGAATCGCGACAGGATAGTTCCGTAACTATTAAACACTTTTGTGAATTTTTCGAAAGCTCGAATAGTTACCTTATACTTTTGAGCAGGTTTTGGGACGCTAAGCCTCACATATCAACCTCAATACTTTTAGGCATATCATAAATGCTTTTCGAAATGGCCATAAATAAGCACAAAACAAACACCGACACACTATAACTACATGGTTCACAGTGTAGTAACTTTAAGACGAAGAAATGCAGTGCGTGCGCTTCGACCAATTTGGCGACCTACGGATTTGCTCATGGATACGCATTTACACTGCGGTTCAGGAAATGTGGGGTGCTCAGTTGGTAGCTTGAGGGCTGAACGCGTGAACGCATCTTCGCTTCCCACTATTCGTTTTTTTTTATGTCACTAAGGCACAGTACCAAGCCATTAGGCCGTCGATGTTGCTTACTTGTGGCACTTAGCACAGCTATTTACTCACTTGGTACCATCACGCTCGAAGCAGCAGGTGGGGAAGAAAAGCCATTGGTGCATGCGGAATTTTCATGTAATAATGAGTCTACAGCACCTGTTGTAGGGAACACTTCCGAAGTACTTGTTAGTACAACGATGCTCTTTGGTTTCATTATGATCTTCAGTACCTTACTAACCATCGAAATTCTAAAGACGCTTCATTAAGAAGGTAATTGAGAGATATAGGACGTATACGCGAGGCAGCTATGCATATTTGTCGGCAGCGTACTGGTTAGAGCATCGTATACGAACCGTCGTTGGACGATAGGTTGTTTCTACGTCCGGCGTTGACGAAAACCTTTCGAGTGTTTCTGTGCATTCTTCTTGCTTGTATTTTGCCGACGTGTTTTCCGTTAGTGGAATGATTTAAGTGAGCTTCTGGTATACTTGTGATGAGATGCTTTTTCAGGTTAGAAAGAGTGCTTGCTGTTATATTCGCACATGTGTAAAGATGTCGGGCAAATGCTAGAGTTGAGGATTCTCACATTATTGCTAAGCCAAATATCATAATTTTGGCAGTAACGACAAATGTTTACCTGTATTATGATTACTATAGACCTGTCTGCTTTCCTCGCCACCGGTTTAATAAAGCACCATCACTTTACAGATATGTTTGAAGAAGCGGTGTTTTAAGAAGGTTACTTCAGCATAGAAATCCACGTTTGGTCCCTGAATTAGGTGAGCATCTTGAGTGCCTTGATAAATTTTGCTGAGAATTTCGAGAGTGCTACTGAGCCTAACAGACCATCAGGGCAGCAATTGCAAACTTATAAAGCATAATAATAAAAGAAACGGGTATTTCATTATGAATGGGATGGTGAGCGCATTGATTTGTCCAGTTCTTGTGCCGCATAATCGTCTATGATCAGCCGTTATGGCGGTGTGACACACTAACCAGCCGCGAGCCTGAGGTGCTTAACTCTCAAAATGATGTCCACTGCCCAAAGCAATCAATACCAGGTTCATTAAAATAATATCTTAGTGTGTGATCTGTTGCTACCATTTCAAATGAACTTTTACTGTCCGAAATTAGTTTTGAAAATGGCGCGGGCTTGGAGGACAATTTGGTCATTGACTGTTCGTTGGAAATTCCCGGCAAACATTTTCATTTATTACATTTTTATTTATATAAGGACTCTCGAAAGAGTAATAAATAAGGGGTGGGTAACATACAATCGATAGTTTTGTCACAATGATGAATGTGAAGGTACATGTGAAACATTATGCATGAAGCTTGATAGAGAGGTGATTGTGGTGATATCGTGGGGAAAGCCATTCTAATCTTTTGGTGTTCTGGGAAAAAAAGAAGCAGAAAATGTTTAGTACTGCCACGTGGGTGAAAAACTTGAAGCGCATGGCCAGTGCAATGAGATATGTGAGCTGCAGAAATAATGTAAGAAGAGCGATAAAGTGGAGAGTGGAAAAAGCTTGTGAAATAATGAAAGGGTTGCAATGCATCCGCGATATGATAAAGATGATAAGTTACACTTTCATTTCAAAAATACAAAACCTCCTCCGAAGGTTACATTCACATAGCCCGTAAGCACGAACTGCCAATATTGCGAGGGCTTAATTTCCCACAATCCTGTGATTTTAATCTTTGCTAGGGGTTTTCTGTGAATGGCAACATTCAACAATAATGTCTGTTTGAGTTTTCAATTGTCATATTACGTGCTTTTGTGTTTTCAGCGTGTGAATTTGCACACTACAAAATGTTTTTTTTTGTGCCCTTGATAAATTCCGTTTCACAACTTGGAAAGGAACTAGAGATTACTGAATGTGTGTCGGATGGTGTTGGGGCAAACACCAAAAACATAATAGATATTATCATAAAAGCGAGCATAATCTTTATGACTTCAACAGTGCTTATTTAGGAATCGTCACGTAAAAAAAAATGTAGCGCGTTATGGCGCAAAAGTTTTGCTAATGAAGGCGTGCAGGTGACAGCTAGCGGCATTTTGTCGTCGTTCAAAAACTACAGCGCACACTGCTGCTAGTAGCACACTTTAGTTTACAGGTTTACAAGTCCATTCAAAAGTTGTGTTGAAGAACACAGCTCACATTACGATTCAGTGCTTCCATGGTGGCAAATCCGACAGGCCCATGATCCCCGCCGCGGTGGTCTCGTGGCTAAGGTACTCGGCTGCTAACCCGCAGGTCGTGGGATTGAATTTCGGCTGTGGTGGCTGCATTTGCGATGGGGGCGAAAATGCTGTAGGCCTGTGTGCTCAGATTTGGGTACACGTTAAAGAACTCCAGGTTTCATAAATTTCCGGAGTCCTCCACTACGGCGTCTCTCATAATATGATGGTGGTTTTGGGACGTGAAACTCCACATACGTCCACGATAGGCCGATGACGACATGTGGTTTCGTTAATCGCATAAAAGCGTTCTTACATGCATCTGTGCCAGCGTGCGTTAGTGACCACGCACGCACGGTTCTAGCGTGCTTCTGTGAAGTTCTTGTTGTCTCTTTGTTATTTCGTACCTTGTGTGTTTTGCGTTTTGAAGCACCATCACGGATCACTATAAACTCGCCATGTATCTGTTCCTTCAATTATGAGAGGGAATATGTTACTAAAATTTTTTTTCATATACAGGAACGCATTGACAGGCCTTTCTAATGGGAACTTTTGAGTGCTATTTCCGTTACCCGTCAGCGTTGAGGCATGATTCCAGCTTGCCGCTTCATCCAATGGCACCTACACCAATGTTCATGTGGTTATTGTGCTCGAGTGCACAGCCGAAGGTTGCAGGATCTGATTCAGGCCGAGGTGTCTTTATTATCGATGAAGCCCATGTGTTTTACTTTATTATTATTTTATTACACATTAAAAATTGAACACAGCGAAAACTTCCTTAGCCCCTACCTATGGCGTCGTTCATAATTATATGATGGTCTTAAAAACATAAACGTCAAAATTTACTGTTGTCCCAAATGGCTATTTCATAAATGGAATGAAACTTTATACCATTGTTACATTGCATTCGCGCTAAGATAACACCAGGGTGGTTGTGTTTATTCTAGTGGTGTGTTTAACGTAGAGTCGTTGAACTTTATTATAACCGATGTTCACTGCTTTCTCTATAGCTACTCATCTATGTGTTAAATACCTGGACAGGTAGTTAGGGAGGCACTTTGTGCAGCAGATAAAGCATACTCGTACATGCACCCTTCATTTTAGTAGCCGTGGCTCCAATCCTAAATGTTGTGACGATGCAACGTTGACCGCTACTCAGGTCGGCTGGTAATGCACTGTTCAATGAATAAATTAAATGAATGTCTTATACATTGTTCTCAGACAAGAAACCATTTTTCACTGTGCGACGGTGTTTGATGATGCTGCCGCCTAACATGCAGCAGTTTTATTTTTGTGTGGACACCTTAGTGTGCTCTCACATAGTGCACGAAAAAAAAAACTTGATATAACTTGGACACACCATTGCCCTTTACGTGCATGGGCAGACGTGACTCAACGCACAGTATTTTACTGCCTAGGTTGTCAAAATATGTGAATTTTAAAATCTGCTCATCTGAGACAACGTCACAATGGTATTATGAAATCTATATTATACACGTCCTCTCACGAGAATTCTCAACTTCAACTGGTGACTTAACAATGTGTGCCGGTGCGCTTGTAGATGCCCCCCCCCCCCTCCCTTTGCGAGGTGCCCGGCGCTGTAAATCACAGTTGATGCAGGTTTACTGCACACATCTCGAATGCTTGCTAAGTGGCTTTTTTGGAACTAAATGTGTTATGAAAGTAAAGTATTCCTCAAACATTTCAAAACTTACAGCTTGAATAAAAAACATGATGTCAGGTTCTTGTAAAGTATCTTGTATTTACACGTGTTTTACGAGTTCTAAAACCTACCATTGCTGATGACAGACGCCATAGTGAAAAGCTTTAGATATTTCAACCACCTGGGGTTTTTAATGTGCACTCAAATCTAAGTAGACAGGCATCCAGGAATTTCGACTCTATCAAAAATGTGGCGCCGGCGGCCGGGTTTATATACGTCATGATCTGTGGGTCACCAATCTAGCAGCATAACCATATTATAACATGGAGGACCTAGGTTGCTCTTCAAATTAACCCAATGAGCATGTTCATGTTCTTTTTTTTCTGTTTAGATTTATTGCTATTGCAGCGCTGGTTTCAAGTGGTGTGTGAGGAAGAAACCGTAAAGGAGACATGAAGGCGACAATCAAGGATGGCATTGTGTACTCTCCGCATCCGAAAGTTGACATACCGGTGTGCTCCGTGTACACAGCCTTGCAGGAATTTCTAACGGCCTCGCCTGAACGAGTAGCACTGGTGAGATGCGGACGTCACCTTACTGTCCTTGCATTTCAAACACTTACTATGGTGTTTAAGCCTAATACCAACGACAAGTGTTAGGAGTCGGTATAGGCTCCCAAAGCAACGCTTCGTGGCGCTGCGGCTCTGCACAAGCAGCGCCATCTCTGTAAAAAACTGAAAACTGGGGATGCACCTCGCGCATTTTTCGTTTTCTCAGCTGCGCTTCCGCTAGCTTCAGTGACGTGGAGGGATCTCGCGCTACACTCGTATGGCCACGCAATGCACCACTGCCAGCACGACAGACACAAAGGCGAACGTAATCAAAGCAGAAAAGCCTGTTGAACACCTTTAGCTTGCGGAGCAGACGACAACGACGATTGACTTATCGCGAAAGGCATTTCCGACGTCCACGATATTACCGCGTATGATAGGTCGAGGTATCAAAACACAAAGTTTCAACGTAGAACCATAACTGGACTTTCGCAATGCGTGGAAACAGTGAGAAATTGTTACTGCTGTTGTTGCATGGAAGCGCCGCCTTATGTACTGATTCAGGTAGTCTAAGCTAATGATTTCAAGCGACTAATTGAGACAATCAAAACGAAAGGTCAGACAGAGCTAGAACTTGCTTTGTTCGTTTAACTGCAGTGATTGACGCTTGTTTTATTTCTGTCTAGTACGACTTATCCGGTAACCGACAGTTTTACAGGTGCATCGAGTGTTTTGGTACTGTCTACCTTCTCTTGGCACAGAACAATACTTTGGACCTCGTTGACGCTTTCGTGTGGTCGAACATCGAGCGCCTTGTGCCAGTGCACTAAGCTGACGACAAGGCGCCGAAGTACCCCGCACCAACACCAGAGCGCGTGCCGCACGTGCTCCCGCTGTGGTGAAACACGCTGAATCGCCTGCACCCTCTGCCACACATTTCCTCAATTTCCCAAAGCTTGCTGCCTTAGCCGCAGCGAGGCGTTGTCTTAGCTTCGCGAACTGGGCTTTGGCTCCATGTTGTGATTTCCTGAAACCACGCAAAATGCAACCACCACAAGAGTGAGCAACAAGAGCGCTCGTGTTGTTTAATCTTCTGTGTGTTTCGTCATTCTCGCTGCTTCCAAGTGAACCTAATCTAACTAACCCTACCATGCCCTTTGATACTGCACGAATTCTTCACTACCGCCTGCTAAAATAAAGTAGCACCCTAGCACATGGCAACCAGTGTTAAGCCAACAGAAACAAGAATGATTACATGCGAAATTGAAGTTTCAAGGTAAATTGTAGCAGAAAGTAGAACTTTGTGGCAAAAACAACAGGTTTCTAAGCCTATTACTACAACCACGGGCTTCTACAGGGTTTCCCTTCACAGGAGGGCGGGAGGGGGGCGAACGTTTCTTGCTGTGCTACCTTCTCTACTATGTTAATATATGGGGCTGATTTCCTGCCTCATAGTCTCAGAGCACCCGCCTACTCCTGGCTCAGCAGGGAGAGCAGTCACCCACTGGACCCCTGTCCAGAGCACCGCGTGCACATCTACGACTACAGCAGAGACCAAGGAGAAACTAAAAAAAAATATGTGTCCTTGTTAATCTGTCCGTAAATGCGCACTTTAACACCGCAGCTGGGGAAGGCAGAGGTTATCCTTTGGTGTGTCTCATGCTTAGTTACCTTGTAGGCGTGCTTGAGGGTGTGTTCAACATAAATAAGACAAGCACTACTACTACTCATTGGTCCGCTTCGGGGCAAAATTGTATCTGACACTGGCATATAAAGCAGGGAAGAGAGAAGGAACGAGGCGAAGATTACAAAAAAAGAGAGAGAAAACAGATGGAAGAGATCGATTCCCATTTCTGCAACATCTTAGGAGCACAACAGGAAAATATGCACCTATAACCTCGCCTGTACCGATGCAAACGAACCCTAGCATTGTGATAGCATCACCTCCAATCCTTAACTATCTGTCGTGATTGTTAAGTCATTCAAGTTATTTCAAAGAAGTATGTTATTTTTTCATCACTACGAAACTTCCGATTTTTACTTATGAGCGCGAAAGTGTTTCTTAGAAAAATGCTAGTGAACTATGTGTGCCAGCCTGTATCAGGAGAGACATTTGGTACCAGGAAGTTGGTGCTGAATTCGAATATATTTATTGAATGTACTAAACTCTGGAGTTAATTATTACCCATGCTGTCGAAAAATATACGTGGTTTCTACTTATTGAGTCGAAAATTGAAAAACATGTTGTTGTATAGAAGGATACACGCCACACCAAAAGACACATGAACCAAAACTCATGGTCTCTATTACTTCACCCTAAGATATATCTGAAAAGACGCACCAAGTATTTTATGATACTTTCCCTAAAATTGTAAAGTTTGAACAAGAATATTTTGGAATAGTAGATCGATAAGTGTGGACGCGAGATAAAGGCAGCGTCTCTAACCTAAGGATCTCCCTTATTCAGGACGTCTGTGCCGTGTGCTATTTGTGCGAAACAGGCTTCTACGTCACTCTGTTGGGCTGCTCCCTAAGTGACTGTTCCTGTTTCTAAGAATGAGATATATAGCAAAATGTCCAATATTTCTTTCCTTTTGTACTTATAGTGAATACGTGGACACTCTCGGCAGGTTTTTGTTGCCAACATCGTACTTCATGAAAGCAAAAATATTTAACATAGCTCTGTGCATCATATATTCTGCTACCGAGTAGAAGAGCGCCTAAATCGGCGATGTAGAGAAACGAAGCAGAGGTGAAACGAGCTGGAACTTTTCGTTGAATTAAGAACACATTCGATAACTTTGGTCTGCGCGCGAGCCGTCCCATTCAGCAGAGAGGAAACGCCCCACCGGATTTTCGTCGTGCGAAAAAACATGAAAGGCCGTTCCTAGGGAGGGCAGCGTTGCTCGAGTGATAATCGGCCAATTGCGAACTTTGATCATAAACTAGTGGGTGGGTGCTTTCTCTCGGGAGACGTTAGCGAACGGCCAGATTACTACACCTTCATACGACATACTGAACAAAAGCCACTTCGTTTCCTCTAGCAACCGTATTACCTTGACTAGCATTCATAGAGTTACACAAGAACGCATATAGAACAATCTACTGTAACGCTTTACTTCGTGTGAATTTGCCTCTAAGAATGAATCTACAGCAGAATATTGTGATAGAATATGAGTAACAGCGAAGTGTAGCCGCCTTTTCAAACTGTAAACACATACAAAGATAAGAATGTTAGTGTAAATTTTTAAGAACAAGATGGCCCTTTATATATGCGGCAAATGATGTGATGCGCAAATTAGTGCCATATTCTCTGCATTATGGGCAGTTTCTGCAATAAACATTACTCTCATTCTTACACTTATGAAAATTAAATGTCCATAATTCCAGCAGATGTAGTGTTTATCTGACTAAAATATAATAGATTTTTTTGGCATTAGTGTATACTGACAACGAATGAGGTTTGCTCGTAGAATACGCGTGAGAGCGGCTAATTTTGAATAACCAGGTTCTGGCAGCATATATCCGTCACACTCAATCCTTTCATTATGGCACCACATATCTCAAGAACACTCATCGCGCATTGATCATCAGCATAAGGTTGCCATTCCGTTTTGCCGCACCAAATTCTTTTCAGCAGCCTTCTTACCGAAAACAGCCGCCGATTGGAACCACCTTCCCTCTTCCGTTGTATCAATAACAGACCCTTTGTTATTCAAGACTGCAATTTCTCAGCAATGCTTGTAACTATACGCAGTTTCCATTATCTATCTTTGTCTTGTATGTGCTTGAATTCTTATACATGTTTAGTTGACTTATGTTGGCTTCCTGATTTGCGCATCTGATACTTGTTTCTTTATTTTGTCTTTTTTTTCTTGTGTGTTATATATGTTGTACCAACCCCCTCTGTAATGCCCTACGGGCCCTGAGGGTATTCTAATAAATAAATAAATAAACACCTGCTGTTTGATTTTGAGGATGTAAGACGGAGTTGTTACGTAATTTCTCGAGCATAAAGCGACTGCACTTGTCAAGCACGTTGACACAACAAATTTGTTGGGTGTTGTAGCACTAACAGTCACCGTATCTCTTACAGGTGGACGAGAAGGTGCGTCTGACACGAGGGGAGTTCTTTTCTCAGTTGCGGAGGTACGCTGCAGGCTTCCAGGCACATGGCATTGGGCTTGGAGACCGTGTCTGCGTTCATCTTGACAACAGTGTCGAGAACATGGTTGCCCTGTTCAGTATCACCTTTACGGGAGCGTCGGTGTTGCTTTCACATCCAGTCCTCAACGAAAGTGAGCCTACCGCTTGCGTCCTTTTACAATGGCAATAGCCTTCACGTTTAGCTGGAGTGTTTATCGGTCGCTACAATTCATAAATATCTTGCGATAAGTGCAGCTCCAGAAACCGCAAGGCCAGTAAAATGAAACGCGCGAGACCATCGTTCTCGCTGTTAATCTCTGAAGCCATGCTTTTGCATCAATAACGGCAGTACAATTGACAATCTCTCTTTGCCTTTCTTGAATTTTTATCTCTCACTCTCTTCTTTGACGTTTTTGTTCGTGTTCATTCAAAACTAACTTGACCTGCGACGTGCTTGCAGAAGCCTTCAACGTGGTAATAGGGCTGCTAGCCATAGCTTTTTTATTGATGCATTCATGCAATATCATCGACTCTTACTGTCAATATTTCTGGCTCATATTTAGGGTGTATACAATGGAACATCATTGTTCGGAAGACTACAATACTGGTGGTTAATTAGTAGAGGAGATTGTAAGATGACTACCAGGGGAGGGGGTTCCGCCATATCATGTGTATGTTCGTGCATGACTTTGTTAGTTTGGGCATATATACGCGCAAGCAAAAGTAAAAATTTTCAAATATATTGAACCCCCTGCCCCCATCTGACCCTCTTTTGGCTAGCCGCATAATTACCACGCGACAAAACACAAAATCAATTAGCACTTATATGCAATGTGTGTTTATTGCCAGGTGCTGTCAATATATTCGATACACTCCTTTCTTCTTCTTGTGAGAAACTAAGCAGTGTCGGTAAATACATTGTTGTAGTATTGATTACCACGTTTCTCTATTCCTTTATTTCCGTAGTCTGTACTGAATATTGTACAAAGGATAATCTATTTGAAACAGTTTTCACGTAAAACGTATGCCACTCACGATCTAGCTGGAAGATGTGCACAGAAAGTAGGAGTAAGACCGTCAAAAGACTTACTCTTTCAAGCATATTTTATAACTATAAATTTTTATTCAAGAAATTAATTTATGAAAAAGCAGAACTTTGCACAGTGACTTTGATATGAGTGACGGAAAAAGTATATTTAAGAGATTAGTTAAATTGTTAACATAATAGTAATGAAGTAATGAAACATAACAGACTGTGCTATCCATAAAAGCACAGAGGGCATATATATATATATATATATATATATATATATATATATATATATATATATATATATATATATATATATATATATATATATATATATATACGCACATTAACATGGGAGCGTCGGTCAGCACCACCAGTAGACTGTCCGGCAAGTGTGGTACACTATATTATGTCTGTTGGGGTAACGTAGCACGTTAACATAATACGAGCTGGCAGCTGACGAATAATCCTTCGCAGACTACCTGAAGGCATCAAAACTGCCAGAACAAGACCCTGTGAATAAAGAAAACAATTGTGAATTTAAGGGCTCGTTTTTTTATTACAAAATATTAACGAGAACTAACAGACGATGATGCCAACGAAAAAATTGGGGATGGTATTAGAAGTAATTTTATTGGAATGTGAAGAAACAAGTTACCTTTATATTACCAATACTCGTTACAACATCTCCTGTACTTTTCTTGGCATCAGTGTCTGTTAGTTCTCATCAAGAGAATATGGATTTCAAAGACAATACAATTATTGTGAGACATAGGGAAATACATGAATTTGAGCATAATATATCTGCCGAAACTGATTTCGCCCTGAGGAAGTACAAGCGAGTTCTAAAAGAAAATAAATCCTGGCTTTCAACAGTAACAAACATTATAATGTTTTGTCAAGAGACGAAAGCAGCATAGGTTTGGCATCTCGCCAGTGCGGAGTGAAATGGTTCGCTTCAAAACGGGGCGACTCCAAGCCTATGAACGCTGCTGTTTTTTTTTTTTTTTTCAGTAAGATTGTCTTCTGTATTGTGGTAGCTGACCTATTACTGTTCAGACCACTATCTTGCGTAATGCTGGATTCACACGACGGACGTGTTCGTGGACTGATCAGTGACGTGACATGTGACGTGTTCGGGATTTCTCCGCGGCTCGCATTCACACTACAGAGGAGACGGCGGGGACAGATCGGTCCTACTATCGCTCCCAGGAGCGTAGGGACGGCGCAGACGGCCGCGGCCACTCGGCTGTCGAGGTTACTTTGCGCAAAATGAACGTTGCGCGCAAACGCCACTTTGCCGCAATGGCTGTTGCTCTCGAAGTGTCAGCAGAAGACAAATAGGAAAGTGGACTTTGCAGCGCAAGAGAGGGGTCTGGGTTAAGCCATGGCTTACCAAAAAGTCCCTTGGGATGCAAAACCAGCTGTATGAAGAGCTACTCGCCAGTGATCCCGAACAGTACAAGCGCTTGCTGCGTTTGTTGCCAGAGAGTACTTCTCAGAATATTGTTGGCGTAATCGTCGCGGCTAGGGTCCCACAAAGCAGAAAACTGCTCCCCTAGCGACAAAAAAAAACGTGGTCTCATCACTGAGCCTGGAGCTGTAAGACGCTGGCCCTGCGACGCTGTCCATAAGCTCATACATTTTCAGCGATAGCCGCATACAGCGCGCACAGTTCAAAATAAAGTAGCGTTGCCTTCGTATTGCGCGCTCTTCACAGCAAAAGCGACATAGATTGGATTGGAAAGAACGGTTGTTGCCAGCCAAAAGCGTTCCGCCACCAAGAGTTTTGTTTTTTTCGCCAAAAATCCCAAGTGATCCCGACTGCGATTTGGGTCTTTACCGTTTTACCAATCGGTCCCCGCGGACCGAAGGAAGAGCGCAGGAACGCGTGACATATGGTGACGTAGCACGCGATCCCCGGGATTAAATTGCGATTTGTTCCGTCGTGTAAATCTAGCATAAGCTGCACCAGAATTTAGAACATTAGCGATTTTTTTTTCAGAATACGATGGTAAGCTTTAGCGCACGTACTGACGGTACGTTTATTGTGCAATAAAGCACTACAACTAATCACAAGGCTGGAATCTTCGACAATTGATGTATAAGCACTAACAGGAGTACAGTTTATCAGGTTATTCAATGACCGATGGCTGTGTGCACCGATAATCTTGCACTTTGAGTGCGATTTTATGGGCGCAAATTCACTCAATAAGCACTTTATTCCTTACAAGCCGGGCTTTATGGCAATAGGCGATTTCCCACATATGCACGTCACATACCGGGATACAACATCCTGAAAAATTGCTGGTATTTTGAGCACTTCACATGTCGCTTCGGGTGACAAAACATTTCTATGATGTGCGCCGAACGTAGTGTAAGCTGCGAGTGAATATACAACGCCATTACAACTATTCCACCGAAAAAAAAACAACAGGTCTGCGCAGAAGGCACAGCACAATCACAGCAAAATCTGTATGATGATGATGATGATGATTATGATGATGATGATGATGGTGGTGGTAATAATGATAATGATGATGATGATGATTATGATGATGGTGATGATGATGATGATGATGATGATGATGATGATGATGATGATGATGCCTCCACTATGGCTCTTGCCAACTACGGTCGATTGACCAAGAATTAGGATACGAAATTTAAGGCCTTTCATATGATACATAATCCTAACAGATGGAGTATAAAGCACACGTAAATACAGAAAGAGTGCAATAATGTTTTTCCCATTCCGACTAGACGGAATAGCATATATGTTAAATTAAAATTGCAGTATTTTGAACACGTTTAGGAATGATGTTTAAAATTTGCCTAATAATGCAATAATAACCAATTTACAAATAGGAGTTTAGAGGCGTGTTCGTTTTGTTTCATGAACATAACTGCAAACGGCATCAAAGGCTTTTATTCTCAATGGTGAAGGCCAGCCCAAGGTTAGCGAATGAGATCACAAGAAAACGTTTTCCTATTAGTTTGTAACAGTGACATGACAAAAATTATTGCTCTAGTGCTTCGAGATCTGTACAAAAGCTGCATAGCGCAGATATTCCCAGAAAAGCCCTGTGTGATATCAATTTACAGGGGACCACGCCATCATAATCTTGTTAGCACGACTTACAGTTGTCTAGTATGAGACCAGTTGGTTTTCCATCGATATTTCAAATGTCTCTGTTCAGTGCATGGTGTTACTATTTTTATAGCATCAGCCCTGAGTGTACATTTTCGATATCTTATCGCCATTACTCTGGCCAGCACCGGAAGGACAGAAAGTATTGAGCCATTTAATGTCAATCGAGCTAACGAGTCCGCCATTTCATTTGATTCTAACCTGCAATGTCCAGGTACTCATAATAATTTTAACAGCTTCAGCTGTGGAGGAATGAGCGAAAGAAATGTCCTTCAGGCATCTGATTTAGATGAAGCTGTTAGTTACGTACATAGGGACAGGGAGTCTGTAACTATTATAGCAGTGTTGGTGTTCAAAGATGGTTTTTGTAGCGCTAGAACAATTGCCAAAAGTTCAGCTTCAAATATAGGTTTGAAGTCTGGTAGTCTTGCTGAAAACGACCAGTCAAGTGAAGGAGAGTAAATACCTATACTCCTGCCGTTTCATCTATCACTGAAGCATCAGTGGCAATTACATTATTTGTTACCACGTGTGCAAGATAAGCTTGCAAGTGGCTATTTAGGACCCTGTGTGATTGAAATTTAGGCCTATAGAAAAAAATCTCATCATATTTTATGATGACATTTTGATTTGGCACGTTTCCTGCTGGTATATCTCGAATTATCACGTTTAGTCTGTCTGGTTGCTTCTAAACAAATTTAATTTGGGTGTGTGAAAACATGGCCAATGAGCAAAAAGAAAGGAGTGCGGGTCGTTGATGAATACATATTCTGATCTTGTTATCGAATAGCTATAATTTAGATAAGCCTGAACCGTCAGGATACGGAATCGACAAGTCAAAGTTGGTATGTGTGCCTCCTGATGGAAAACATTGATCGCAACAAACTTCGGGAGCCCAAGGCATAGTTGCAGGGCCTCACGCTCTAAAACAATCAAAGGCTTAAGTTTATAAGCAGGACCTCCTGAGAATAACACACATCCAAATTCTAGTATGGGACGCATATACATTTTGTAAATCATAACCAGAGCATCCCAGCGTAAATCATAGCGTCTGCTGGTCAATCTGCGATTCATGTCTAAGGCATGTTGTGCCTTACATGCCATACTCTTTATGTGAGAAGTCCAGTCTAATTAATCATTATAAATCATTCCCAAATACTTAGCTGAGTCAACTTGCGGAATTGGCCCTTCTTTAAAACAAATGATATTTGAGGAGGGTATGTTAACGGAAATCTAAATATTGCACTTTTGTTTACTTTTAGTGACACATATATATTATCTCTAGGCACCCCTCTAGCGAATTCATATCCCTCTGCAGTTTTTTATATAAGGAATTAATGTCAATGTCTGCTGCAAAGAAGGCAATGTCATCAGCGTACACGTATACATGCACATCCTTGAATGTAAACATTCGACAGAAGTCTGTCCGGTTGGGTATGAAACTGGGAGATGATTTAGACTCCAACCAAAAGTTTTGAAGAAACTCGACGTTTCAAAACCGACTTCGTTCCTTTCTCAGGGGTGACTGTGGAGCTACGTAGTAGCGGCGTCTTCAAAGCGCTCGCGGGGTGATAATGACCCCTGCCCTCTCTCTCTCTCTCTCTCTCTCGTTTTCCCGTGGAGCGCAGTTCATGTGTATACACCGAGAGCGGTTGATGTTATGGGCTGACCTCTGTATGTGCGACGACTCGACAAATAACCTTCTCCTCCAGTTCGGCTCACTTTCAAAGATGATCGTCGATTCGAAATTTATTCAGTGATCGAACGTCTCAGCATGTTTGGTGACTTTGTTTGGTAGATTGTTTGGTGATTTGTGATTGGTGTTTGGTGATTTGGTAGATTGTTTGGTGATTTTGTTTGGAAGCATGTTTGACCATGTTTGGTAGATTTTTCGTCTCACCGATATATGAAGAGGGGCACTCGGCGCACGGAATTTTGTAAACGACACCGTGTGTCCTGTACATTGTTGGCCGGTCTTTCGGGCGGAGGAGGAGGTGGCCCAGCGAACACGAAGGCACGTACGCGATGCGAATTTCTTCCTTCTTGTAGGCATTGCGCCGTGCTCCCGACCTGGCTGCAGAAGTTAGGTGCCTTTCTTCTCTTCTGACCACTACCACTTCCACCACCACCTTCGTGAAGATCCGCGCCAACATGTCGCTGGTGCCCTTAACGTATTGGACCGGTAGGCGTTTCGGGGGGGGGGGGGGGGGAGAAGGGCTGCCAATGAGTGTTGATTAGGGTTTTCGTATCCTCTGTGGCTCTGCGTGGCGAGTGGTGGCTCGAATGAAGTTTTTTGGGTATCCGTTTTTTCTGAGGTTTGCAATCACACGGGCCTCTTCTTTCTTTCACTCCGTGTCATTGCAGCATAAGTTCTTAGCTCTCTGGAGTAGCGTGGTCACAACTGAAGCTTGTGGCAGGCACATCCTGGCTGCACATCCTGGCACATCCTGGCACATCCGGGCTTCAAGGAATTGAACACATTAAGATGTTGAATAATATTGGAGACAAGACAGCCCCTCGGCAAACTTCGCGAGTTCGTTTAAATTTTGGACGAAGCGCAGCCATTCTTAAAGCAATTAAATTCTCTTGTCTTCGAAAATTCTCCAAGCCACGCAATAATGTACCTCGGGAAATTCTGGCTGGCAGAATGGCCTTTCAGACCCTTTTCAAAACATTCATTGTATAACTGATGCGAGCTCGCTTGCTTGTTAACACTATTACATTATTAATAATGATTTTTACGGTAGTAGGCGGGAATCCACTATTCTAAATTTTTCATCATTCTTGTGAGAAGTGTGGTATCCGCTAAGCACTTGCAAAAAATTTTGTGCCAGTGGCTGACGAAGATGAGGAATTATGCCTGAAATGGGTATGTGCCACAGTCATTAGCTGAACAAGAACAAGCTTTTGTAATGGGTTGAAGTATTAACCGACTCACTCGTTCCCCTATTCGCATTGTGCGACGACTGGTTGCTCTTTCGCTGTTTTAAAACGCTTTATATATCGTATTTACGTGATTGCTTTCCAGACATCAAGCCTGCCCTAGGCAAATTTGCCAACAAGTACCAAGCACCGGCATGACTCAGTGATATATACTGGGCTTGGACTCAATGGACCCGGGTTCGAGTCCCACGGTCCTATTGGCTCTAGGTTTTTTTCTTCTAATTTCGTACAATGTAGGTTAGGGACACCGGTGGCGGCAGCGGTGGTGGCGGCGGACAAGTTCAGCGCCACGCGTGACCCCAGTTGTGATCTCAGTTGTGATCTCATTACAGCTTTCGCTGTGAAAGTAATTTGACCCGCCTTGCTGCCTGGACACTTGCCGTTTCACATGCCTACTCTTACAAGAGTTGTGTCTGTTTGCTCAAAAGTTATATTATCTATTATTCTGCATAAACTTGGGACACAGCTTTACTATTACCAGTGTATTGCTCAATATTGTGACGCCTATTCTCACTGCTGCCTTTCGTAAGAGGTTCTTAAGCAATCGCCGTAAGCTATATCCTTATCCCAGTGGTTCTTTTACCATTGAAGGTGATCAAGACTTCACTATCAAAATATGACTCTCTCAATCTATGGCTTCAATTTTCATTATATTTGCGTTCCCATTTGGTATCGAACCCAGTGTAAGGCTGCAGTACTTCTATGAGTGTATGTTGAGAAAAGCTCAAAACTGTACAAGAGGGTGCATAAATAATTAAATTCTTATCGACATGCATATAATGTTTGCAGATGCCGGCCATATTGAATAACTTCAGTACATTCAAACATGAATACATATAATGTATACACTACGCCAAGGCGTAGTACTTCTCAGAGGATCAATGCTCACTATTTTGACTCACGCCTCTGGTCCAACAACGCCAAATGTAGCCTGTGTGTTGGAGTATTGAGAAGGCAATAATAATATCATTCTACTTCATATTATGGGCTCATTTTAGCGTGATGTTCTCAGTGATACTGTATTTATACACTTTATAAGTTTTTTCATGTCACTCATTCTTGTTGCTGACATTTTTTTCATGTTTTATTTTAGATGAGCTCTTCTTCCAATAGACCACGCAGATGCAACTCACATTTTGACCACTCCACAGTACGCAAGTAAAGTCACGGCCGTGAAAGAGAAAACAAATCTTAAGGTATGCAGAAAGCAGCGCAGAACAGCGACCTAAATAGGTGCAAACGTATGCAGGAACGCCTCAAAAACTTATGTGAATTCTGACAATGTTAAAGAGTTGGTCAATACCTATTTTACGAACTTTGCCTCTGAACGTTGGCGGTTGCTTTTCTTTTTGCTGGGGAATGGTACATGTTATCCGTCAATATCAGGAATAGCACGTTTCCGAAAAAACACTTGTTCACGTCACTCATGTTTATTCGCGGAGCCGTTGCGGCGGAAATCTTAGAAACAAGACTCTTATGATCAAAAAAGTTGTTTTGCAAATATTAAGTACAGCTAGAATTTCCTGTGAACGTGAGATTGGGCGAAAGCAGCCTTTTATTTGCGCGAGAGAACCAAGTTCAATACATTTTGTTTGCGCATTAGGTTAGTCGTAATCGCTCCGCTTCGTGATAATAATATATCCTTTAACAACTTGCTGAATAGCGTAGAGGATAAAATCGCTTGCAAAGATCTGTGCAATGACACAAGCATCACCTAATTGTAACGAGGACCATTTTTGAATGACAGAGTAGTGTTACCATCTCTTTCTATTTCGTGTGCTAAATGCAAAGTAGGAACATCACCTAGTATTAATGCAAAAAGAAAGCTGCTCGTAAAATGCTGTAAATTATTTTGTAAGCTAGACAACACAAGAATGGTTAAATGAACGCTATTTACCTGTAAGAACCACAGACTAAACTTAAGTTCTTTTCCTGCTATTTATATGCTCGAGTGTTCTTCACTCACATGGTTCCCGCCCACTTGAAAAAAAAAAGTTGGCAGATCCCACGTACAGCGGGAATCGATGATATGCGAAGCACGATTAAGGAAGGTTGATGTGTCACTTTAAAATCCCACAACGTCACGAAGCGGAGCTAAATTCTGCCGTACACGACTTCCGTGTGATGAGTATCATGTTTGTAGGTGTCGTTTACCTTCGTCATCTATTATGTCACGTGATGCCAAATTCAGTATGTGACCCTACCAAAACGGCCGCGAGCACTCTATGAACGTTGTACGTTGTCATGATTATCATGTTTGCATCAGTCCTATACCTTTGTAATTCATTGACGTCACGTAACACTCAATTTGGGTATATGTGGAGCTAGTGAACGGCCTGAGTGAATCATGAAAGGCCCAATATACTCCAACGTACCGTTGACGCACGCGCACGCTGGCCTCAGCGACGCTGTACGTTAGCAAAACGTGAGAACTCTATAATCTGACGCGATGCGCGACCGGCGCGACCAGCATCCGTCGGCGCAGCCCGACGCCAACCAGCGCGAAATGCGACATGCTGCATTCACATACGCTACGTTACCGAGGCAGCGCTGCCTCTTTTCGTGACGGAAGGACGCTGGACGCGCTGAAACGCGCAAATGTCAAAGCAACGCAGAGTGACGCGTGCTGCGAGCATAGAGTTTACTAAAATTAACCAGAGGAGACTCTGTCACTTCGATCGTTCAGCCACCATGGGAATGATGGGTAGTACGCCCTTTGCCTAGTCTTCGTACTTGCCGGTGGGCGAATCATACTTGCGGCTGCATTTATTTTTGTGTTTCGGTTTTGTTTTTAAAGAAAGATTCACCCTTTTGAACTTCGTGACCGATTTGGAAAGGTAAGTCTAAACGAATAAGGTGGTGGGTTGCAACCGCTGACATTTTCTGCTTGTCGTTTTGTGTTAAAACACCTCCAAGCCATACGAACACACACGAAGCCAAAGGGGCCAGAAGTACAAAGATTAGACAAATATGTGTACTACCCATCCTTCTCATGCTTGCTGAAGCACCGTGCGTGGCAGCCTCCATGGACACTAGCACCCAGAGTTCCCTCTAGTGTATATTAGGAAACTCTATGTCTGCGAGTATATGGCAGGACCGGCGACTGGTGTGGAAACGCCGACGTGACGCGACGAAACGAACGCCGGCGCACACGTGCGCCGCGTGACATCGAAGTGTATTGGCGCCTTGACTGTGGCATACAGTCATGTTGTCACATGACACGCATCTCATCATTATCACGCTTGTACCAGTCTGATACCTTCGTCTTCATTGACGTCACGTAATACCGAATTCGGCATATGCGAATCTAGCAAAACGGCACCCATGTCGTATTATCATGTTCGAATGTGTCATTCACTTATGTCGTCCATTCACGTACCGTAATACCAAATTTCGTATATATGACGCCAACTAAACGACCCCGAGCGCATCATGAGCGTGGCATGTAGTCATGGTATTACCTGGCGCACATGTCATGATTTTTATGTTAGGGTCTGTCGATTGTGTTCGCCATGCAATTATGTCAAACCATACCAATTTTGCAACATGTCATGTGAACGAAACCACCGTAACCCCCTAATGCAGAGATGTTGCTTGACTCGTACTTGACTCGTTCTTGACTCAAGACAGTCTTGCCGGTCACCATAAATCGTTTTCGAACCTGCGGACGACTTGAAGGCGACTTGGCTCGGTCGAAGTCAGGACAAGTTTCAAGCCAGCTGCGGGGCTAGCTTGAAAGCGACTTCACGCGTTATTCCAACATGGCCACCTCTCGAATGGGCATCGCGCTGAGGGTGGCCGCTTTTGAGTTTGCTTACCTCGCCATAAGCGTAGCATTTTCTGAGGCGCACTGCCTGCCAAATATTGTTGGACCCGCTTTACGTGACCGAGGAAATCCGATGGAGTTGTACGACGAGCAACAATTCTACGCTCGATACAGATTCACGAAGAACGCCGTGCGGCAGCTGCTGGGTATGTTGCTGCTCCGTGAAAGTGGGGACAACCGAAGACACCCTGTGCCTCCAGTGTTACAGCTACTGATGGCTCTCAGGTTTTACGGCGCTGGCACATTCCAAACAGTCACCGGGAATCTCGTCCGCATTCCGTAGTCGATAGTTTGCATGCAGTAGGAAAAGTTACGCTACTCGTCGCAAAGCACCTGTACGCGATGCTGGTGCGCTTTCCGCAACCGGCAGCACTTTCTGTAGTTGTGCGGGACTTTTATGAAGTTGCTGAGTTCCCTAGCGTTACAGGTTGTGTCGACTACACACACGTGCGTATTATAGCCCCGGTAGTGACGATGACGAAGTGTTTCGTAACCGCAAAGGCTATTTCTGTTTTTTTCTAAAACACGACGACATTTTCCGTCTTTTTCGGTACAAAATTGACTCGGCGCTGGTTATGTGTGCTTCGTCTATCCTTTCTTCCCGTCTAGGGCGCTGTTTCTTGCTCAGAAAGGCGTCGTTTCTAGCACAACGCTACGTAAAACTCTACACACATAAAAAATAGATGCCCCTATCACGGTTTTTTTTTATCCCCTTCACAATTATGCAGCGAGACACTGCTGCACACCGCAAGACAAAATTTTCTGAGGCAATGTCCTGACCCCCGCTTTTTTTCTTGTTTACCAAGCTCAACAAAAGGATAGGAACCGCATTTGTTTCCAGCACTTCTTTTTTTTCATATATAACTGCGACCTAGCCCACTACAAGCATGCACACAGGTGAACAGAAGGGCAAATACCGTTAAAATCGCGTCCCCTCGTGAGCCAGGTCAGCACAAATACTTGCCGTGGCGTTCGATTGAAAAAAAAAACGATGAAAGAACCCAACGCGATGCTTGTTTCGCCTCCAAACAAGCAACCGTGAAGAAACGCGCTGCATTTGGGTGGCCACTAAAACCAGCGGGCAACGAACGCTTTACAGGAGCAACACTGCGCATCGCTGTGGTGGCAGGCACCACGTGCCGCTTGTTAGCCGTAAAATGGCAAGAATATGCTTGTGGCCCTTCGTTTTTACAGTTATTTTAAAACGTATGGTCTTTTTTGCTGTAATGCATGCCTTACGCGAACAACTTCGTTATTGCCCTCGTTAGCAGGCGAGCAGCGTGTTTCTGCTTTGAAGCTCGTTCTTGACTTGACCAAGCAAGACAGCCTGAGCATCTATGAAACGCGAAGGCTGGCTTGGGTGTTTTCAAGTCCGCTGCATGCTTCAGGCTGACTTGCTCAAGTTAAGTTGAAGTTGCGAGCCAAGTAACATCTCTGCATTCGAGGGTAAGAGCAGCAAGACCATGAAATGTAAATCAAGACATTCATGACATACATATCATGGTTTTCATGTTATGACAAGTCAGTTGCGCTTGTACTACAGTCATGTTATGCCATACCAAGTTTGGTATTGATACCATTACCTAAACAGCCAGGAGAGCTAAAAGTCGTAGACGCCTAGATAGATAGATAGATAGATAGATAGATAGATAGATAGATAGATAGATAGATAGATAGATAGATAGATAGATAGATAGATAGATAGATAGATAGATAGATAGATAGATAGATAGATAGATAGATAGATAGATAGATAGATAGATAGATAGATACGCTCAAAGTCCCTGAAGTTCGCTAAAAATGCTTCGAAGTTTAAATCCTGATTCAAGCTGCGGCTTAGTGGCAACCCTATTGGAAAAATTGCCATGGTGGATACTGGAAAACATGGTGGACGTAGTGGAAATAATAGTGGGCATGGTGGAAATTATGATGGATATGGTGGGACGTAGTGGAAAATATGGTGGATATGCCGGGACATACTGGGTGGTATAGTGTACAGATGATGGGTAAAGTGGAACTGATGGTGGAAAGCAGGGACTAGATAGTGGGCAATAATGGGACACTCTGCCCACCATTGCGATAATGCTGGGAAGCCCTAAGCATATGGTGGGTGGTGGTTATTATGGTGGGCCACATGGTGTACCAAGCTGAGAAGCTCTGCCCATCATCGCGATAATGCTGGGAAGCAGTAAGCAGTTGATGGGTGGGCTTATAATGGCGGGCAATTTATATAGTGTACCAAGCTGGGATCTGTACACTACATGTTCTACCACCATGATTTCCACCAAAGGTTAGGCCTACCGACCAAGCCCGTACAATTAATTGTGTTATCCGTGCTTCCGGGTTTCAGAATACACGATTTCGACGATT